GATAGGATAGGATAGGATAGGATAGGATAGGATAGGATAGGATAGGACAGGACAGGACAGGACAGAATGGAAGGGAAGAGAAGGGAATGAGGAGAATAAAAGGGAAGAGAAAGGAGAGGGGAGGAGAGGAGAAATTCAGTTGGAAGGGACCATCAGAGATCATCTAGCCCAACTGTCTGACCTCTAAATTGTGCCCTAAAAGGGATCTTTACCACCAAAGAGCCCTTAGGCTGCGGGAGCCCCTTCCTGGGGATGCAGATGCAAATACCTGGGAGCACTGCTGGATTTCACAGCTTGCTGCCTCAGCCAAAGCAGGACAGCATGTTGGGGTGTTCATTAATGCTGGTGCTGGATCTGCTGCTCGGTGTTTCACGTGAGGACGTGCCAGCTGGGGACATGGTGGCACATGGGGCAGTGGCAGGGGGACGGTTGGGGCACGGGCAGGCAATGGGAACGTGCTGCAGAGCTTTCCCCTTATCTCCCTAATCCCCTCCCCTGGTGACCCGCCAGCGCACGGGGGGAGGCAGACAGGAGGATTACGGCCACGGAGCTGGTGGCTGCAGGTCCCCGGGCTGCTATTCCCCCAGCAGTGGGGCGGGCTGAGAGCCAGCGCTGGCGGAGCAGAGCATCCCAGGGGGACCCTCGTCCCCGTCCCCCTCCCCATCCCCGCAGCGAAGGACGGAGTCGGGACGGAGCAGCCGCGGGACCCTTTGCACGTTGCTGCCGGGGAGCTGCGTGGAAGCCTGCGGGGCGTGCGGGATGGTTCATGTCCAGGTGAGCCCCCAAAATCAAAAAGCTGAGGGGACCGGAGGGGACGTGGAGCGGAATGCGACCGTTAGAGGGCAGCGTTACCGCAGCGCGATGCCGGGGCGGTGCGTCCGCCCGGCCGTCTGTCTGTCTGACTGTGCCAGCGCCGTGACGCAGGGGGAGGCGAGTGGCAGCGCTCAGCCCCATTCGCCCCGTTGCGGACCCACACCGCACCCCACAGGCGGGCTCCGTGCCCGCTGCCCTCGTCTTCCCCCGGCAAGTGACAGCACCAGCTGCCATCGCTGCGGCCCCGGTCCGGATGCTTCTTCCATGAGACAGCGGTGGGACGGAGGCAGCTGGGGCTCGTACATGTCAGCCTTGGGATGGTTACCGAAGGGAGACGAGCCTCGCTTATTTATAGGCTGCCAGCCCTGATGCCGTGCCCGCTGCTCCCCTCCCCGCACCATGGAGGTGTTCCCCAGCCTTGTGGGGGTGGTCAGTCGTTGCAGCTCAATCCCTGCTGTCCCCAGAGGCAGCGGATGCAGAGCAGGGCTCATCCCTGCTCAATATAGCTGTCACGGTGGCTGTATCAGGAGACACTGAGCGTGCACCCCACGGCCATCACTGGGCTGGGGACAAAGGGAGGTGTTGGGGGGCTCAGGGCACAGCAGCAGGGATGGCTCAGCCTTCGCCCCGTGGGGCACTCAGGCAAAGTTCAGCGCCCATTCCTGGCTGGCCCAGCACCGCTGGCATCCATCCGCATTGGGTTTCAGGGAGGGGAGGGGATGGGTTTTGTGCCTCTTACGGCTCTGGTTACTCAGAACTTGTGTCAGTCGATAATTGGGACGGACAGAGGGACGCAGGGAGAGCACAGCCCGAGCCCAGCTTCAGCAGAAGATGCCCTGGTGCCAGGAGCTTGCTGGTAGGAAGGTTTGGCTCCACAGTGCTGATTGAGTATCCTTCTTCCTGCTGCAGGAGGGGACGCGGTAGCACTGGGTGTTCTGGGCAACGGGGGGGGCTGCTGAGGGTTTGGGATCCCCATCGGTGCTTTGAGGAGCAGGGAAGAGCAGTTCTGAAAGCACAGATACGCCGGATTGCTGTTTAATTAATTCAGGAGAAGATGATCAGGCTCTCGTACTGATTCACCCCCTAGCAGAAAACATCGTGTTCCTCACTCAGCCTTCTCTGACATATGGCTGTTGTTTCCAGCCCACCCCCAGCTCCTGCTCACTGACAAGCAGCAATGCTGAGCACATGCTGCGTGGGGTCCGGCTGTCACGGGGACCCCCCAGGGCAGCGGGGGGTGGGCGAGGGTTGGGAGCAGAATGGGGCTCCTGGGGGCTGAGTCAGGGTGAGCAAACCATGGTCCTGCCCTGGGACTCCTGACCCTGCTGCCTCCACCTCCTCCATCTGCCAGCAGCACCGAAACCTTGCAGTACAGGCAGCTTTAGCACTTCCTGACCCAGCAGAGGAAGTGGCAGCACCATTCCCGGAGCTCCCGGCGTTCCTCTCTCCCATAAACTAATTTTCCCCTAAATTCTCCAAGCTTAGACATGGCCCCAAATAACTGTAGCTGCGGGGGATGGTCACTGAATTGTCCTGGCCATTTGTTCCTCACATGTGATTGATGTCCAGGGCCGCTGTGACATGTGCCCAGGGACTGCAGGACTGCCCTATTGGGACCTACTGCAGTGGCACTGCATGGGGAAAGCAGAGATGCTCAAAGCAGGGTGAGGACACATCCCCATGACCCCAAGGACCCATCTCTGTGCAGGGCAGGAGCACATCCCCAGTGCCCCAGTGCCACCACGTTTCCACGTGGTTCCTTTGCTGTTCCCTGCACCCCGTTCCCAGGCTGTTGCCTCTCCCCCAGGCTCCCTCCCCTCTCACCAGCCTGTGCCGCCTGTTCTTGGCTGCTTCTCAGCCTCGCAGAGCCTCTGCTGCAAATCCCACTGCGCCTTTCTCTGCCCCTTGGACTCCTTAACTGCAGCCATGGCAGAGGGAGAGGATCTGACACTTGGCAGGAGTGAGCAGGGCATCCTCATGCAAGATCCACACCCTCCTGACTCCTGTCCTGGGAAGAGGATATTGCTCTTAAATTCTCTCCTGGGTGTCTTTGTAAGTACCCCCCATCTGCTCCTCTAAGCCAGGATCTCGGGGTGTGCAGGGCTGCAGGGTGGTACCCAGTGCAAGGCTTGGGATGCTCATGGGATTATCTGACCTGAGCTTTCTGCTCCTGGGGGTTTTAACTTACGGGGGAATTGGTGCTTTTTGGAGGACTCTGTGCCCTTCTGTGTGAATTGGGTTAGAATCTGCTGCTGCTGTGCAGGGTGTGTGGGCAGGGGCTTGCTCATGCAGGCTCACAGCATGATGAGGGCAAGAGAGATATGCCAACAGAATCTGGAGAGGGCAGACCTGAGAAATGTGGGGACTGTTGATGTAGGAAGCACCCACTGGGGTTTATGGCACACAGGGTCCCTGCAGAGCCATGCAAGCTGTGGTTTGGGGATTGAGCAGTTCCCTCCAGCACTGCTCCCAGCCCCAGAGCTGTTGGGATGAGTTCAGCCATCTGCTCCTTGACCTCCAGCACCACCTCATCCAACTGCCTGCCAGCCTGGCTGGAGATGCCCTGAGCATTGTGCCGTGCACTGTGAGCAGGACCCTCATCCTGCTTCTACCCTTGGTGTTTAATTAGAGGTATTGAACTGTGCTTTGGCAGCTGCACATCACAGATCTGCTCATGTCAGGCTGCTCCAGTTTCTGGTGCACTGTGATGTACGGTGCTGGTGCAGGGGGATGCGCTGGGTCCAGCAGCACTGGAAATGCATCCGTGTCTCAGAGCAGCTGCTGCCTCCATGTCCCCTGCTTGCTCCATCTGCAGCTGTCCTTATCATTGCCCTGTCAGAACCCACGTCTGCACCCAGAGCAGCTCCGAGCTGGTGGTGGTATCCATGCATGGGCATGGACAGATGTGGGGACAGCCTGAGAGGTGATGGGAGGCGATGGCAAGCAGTGCTCAGGGCAGTCTGCGTGTCTCAGCTGTGGGAACAGCACAGCCCTCCCCATTAAGCATGTATCTAGGTCACGATCAGCTCACTGCTCCGGCCTGTACAATTAAATGTGTGGCAGAAGAGACTTCCTAAGCTGTTGTCTTTATGCCTTTTACTGAAAAAGAAGCAAACCAGAGCGCTGCAGCCCAACCTCTCCCATTCAGCCTACCATCCATATTTATGCTCAGCCAGCACAGAGCAGAGCCCAGCACTGGGAGCAGCTTATCCAAGCTGCAGGTCATTTTCCTTGCCCAGAACCTTGGCTTTGACTCCAGCAAAATGCAGGGACTGGTGACTCCAGGCTGCCACCAGCTGCTGCAGTACCCGAGCTTTGCTGCCGCTCCGCTCGCTTTGCAGCCGTGACATTTAATAGCTTTTTAATTGCACATGAGGGAATCACAGTTAAGAGACAAAGCGAAGTATCAAATACCTGGAGCTGGCACGTAGGCGGCTCGGCTGCTCCGTGCCATGGCAGAGGCTGCAGCACTCAGTGCAAGCTCCCCATCGCTCTCTATTGCACCGAATGGAGCTAACACAGATGGCTGCTCCCCACTGTGGCCTTTTGGAGGTGGATTTTGGCACCTCTGGGGCTGGTGGCTGGCTCTCCCTGCAGCCCTCAGGTGTTGCACTGAGGTCTGTGTCCACATCACTGTACTGTGGCTGCTTCTTTGCATGCCCCCAGCATAGGTGTTGCTTCCCCACTTCCAGAACGTCAGCAATAGGTAACAAGCAGAGCTCCCCAGCATCAGTGTGACACTGGGGGTGTGATGTCCCCCGTGTGCTTGCTGCAAGCTTTCTTCCTGGCGTGCTAAAAGTACAGCTCTGAGGCTCACAAGCATATATTTATCCCGAAATGTGCCACTCTAAGGAGCAAGCTGCACTCCTGCATCGCCGTGCACAGCGAGCCCTGAGCACACGGTGCGAAGGCAGGGAGAGACCCCAGCAGTTCCCACAGTGGGAACACAGAGCTGCGGGTGCTGAGCATGCAGGTGGGAACGCAGAGGTGTCATTACCACCATTCCCATGAGTAACACCCCCACAGAGATCTTCATGGTGCAGTGAGGATCAAAGCATCCCAACTGTGAGCAGAGCTGCTGCCGGGCTACCGAGCGCTCAGTGGCTTGGCTGGGATTTTCCCATGCATAGTTTCCCATCCGGAGTTCTACTTTGTGCCTCCGCTTGGCTTTTCCCAGGCTCAGCATCCTGGTGTGTGACAGCGTGGGCGCTCAGTGCCCGTCACAACACCCCGCAGTGGGGCACAGGCAACGTGCAGGGCTGGAGGCGGCGTGCGTATCCCGCTGGAGGGATGAGGGCTGTTTCTGCATTACAGCCCTGAAAGCTACAGTCAGAGTAGAGCTGTAAACAGCTCGGAAGGATTTACTGAGTCGGCAATCCGGCAGCACACAGCTCAGCTCAGCCCCGATGCTGCCTGAGCGCTTGGGAAGCTCACAGGGCTGCGGGGACGGCTCTACACGGGGGGCTGCAGCCCTGCACCCGGGCTGGGGGCTCTGCTGGGGGACGCACTGCCCCTGAGCCCCCCCCCGCCCCCCCCCCCCCCCCCCCCGGGCAGTCCCTGAGTACCCCCTGGGCTGACCCCTGCCATGGCATCGCAGTGGGGATGCAGCCGAGCAGCCCGCGCCGAGTAGCCCTGGGGGATCCGAATCTGCTGGAGATGGAGGTAGGTGCCGTGGTGATCAGGTTTGGGTTTGGTTTGGGATTGGGTTTGGGGAGGGTGGGCAAAGAGATCTCATTTCTGGTGCTGACAGCGGGATCCAGACGTGAATACTCAATGCGTGGAGACCAAGGGGTGAGCTGTGCCAGAGCGACAGGGTGGGAAGCTCCACTGGGAGCTGAAACCCTTAATATGCTTCTGATTATCTGTAAGAAAAATTACTGTCAGGCTGGGAAATGAACAGAGGCAGCTGCTGCTGTCCCCTCTGTCTGTATGGGGTTGGTGGCAGCCAGCAGGCAGGGTGCAGAGGGCATGGGACAAAGCAAAGAGGGCACGGGGCTCCTGCTCCAGTCCCTGCTGCAGGCTTGGAAGGAAAGTGGGAGGTGTGAGTCAGGGCTTCTCCTTCTGGTTTCAATGCCTGGGGTGGGAATAGTGGCTCTGATATGCACGGCATGGGGCTGGGAACCTACATGGGGATGGGAAGGGGCTGGGGACATCCTATATAATGCCAGGCTAATGGCAGCAAGCAGCTCACAAGAAAGATCTGCACTGAATTCTGCTTTGCTCTGAGCCCCCCGGGGGGAGAGGGGCCATGGGGACAGCTACACTTCATTAACGACTACCCAAAAATCGACCTCTCCACAGCCACGTGGCATTAGCTCATCTCCCATGCTTCCTAATAGGTTGCAGCATATGGAAACCAAAATAGTTTGGAGCATGAGTAAGTGTCCCGAGAGCTATCTTCTGAACTCTGTGATCGTTGTGCAATTTCTTAAAATGGGTTTGAATCCCTTGCAGCCCCGCTGGGTGACCCAAAGCCCTTTGCTGGGGACACAGCTGTGGCCCTGGGCTCCTCGCCTTCTACCTGGGCTTTCCTCCATCAAACCTGCAGCAGCAAACAAACCAGCATTGCATAATTGTGCCCGGCCGTGGCCCTCCAAGCACTGTTTGCTCAGCTTATTAACTTGAGCCTTTTGCATATCTCAGCTCTCCCGGGCTGAACTCTGGTGATAAGAATAATTTTCCTCCTCTCATCCTGCATTCCTCCCGCATCCCACATCAGCTCCCCCCTCCAGCCTGCCTGGAAAACAAGCATGGGAGATGGACGGTTTCATTTCAGCGTGCTTACCAGAAGGTTTTACTGCATGTAGGGAAAGTGTGGCTGCTGCTAATCCCCCTGCTAAATCTGCTGCACAGTCATTTAGGCTGGCTGGGATTTAGCAGGCACTGCCTGTTAATGCTGCAGAGATCTGTATTGTCTTTTTGTTGTTGTTGTTGCCACTTTCAGAGCAATAACCTGATGTGGCTCTCACATGGTTCTGCCCTGTGTCTGAGATAGGGCAGAGCTTTCTTGTGGTCTTGGGGGATTTTGCCCCGACCACAGCAGCACATTGGGCAGCATCAGCGCTGTGCCACCATCCCTGTGCTCCCAAAGAGGCTCCCCCCAATAAATCCCAGAGATGGGATTTGCAGGAGCTCAGCATTGCACGAGGTCAGACCCCACTGAGGCCGTTTTCAGGACTGGGATCAGCGATTCCCAAACCTCCTCCTGTTTCTCCAAAGCTCCTGGGTGGAGCAGCTGGGGCTCCCCACCTCCCTCCACTCAAAGCCTGCAAGCATTTCACAGGGGTACATGCATGGAAACAACACAAATTCAGCTCCAGGATAAAGGGAACTGGAGGCTCTGCTGTGATAACACCACATTTCATAGAAGTTTGAGCCACTTCTCCCTTTCATGTTTCCTGTTCCGGCTGCTCCAGGGCTGCTTTTCTTTTTCCACTGCTGTTTTTTTGTCCTTTGCTGTCTATAAATGGGACATCTGGGGTAACAGCCTGCTTCCTGCTGCCTCCCACTTCTTCCTGGCCATAAGAACCAAAAGCAAAACCTTCCCCTGGACTGAAGGGGAGCATCAAGCCCAGGGTTCTTTTTGGAAAATGCCGATCCAAAAGGGATGGAGCTACGTGCAGCTCTGCCCTGGAAGCAGGCAGGGGCTGTTTGTTTTTCCCTTTGCTTGCATCCTTGAGTACCTTTCCCCTGTAACAGAGAGATAAGAAAAGCCCAGCCTAGGGGCTGGGGGCTGCACAGAGCTTGTAGTTATCTGTGTTAACTACAGAAAGCACTGCAAGAAGACCCTTATGATGAGAACCAGTGCCCCTGGGTGGTCTCCAGCAAGCACGAGCCATGCCTTATATAAAGCCCTGCAAATCCCATGCTGGGCACTAGGACAGGCATAGCCCCTGGCTCTGTGTCCACAGCAAGGGAGGGACATGAAAACAAGAGGAGAGCATTTCCCTGCTGCTTGAGCCCGGCTCAGCACTTGCCACAGACAGGAACCTCGATAAGCAGCACCTTGAGAACATTCCTCCCTCCTGCACGAGGCATTTCCCAGTGATAAAACACTCCTAAGTAATGATCTCGCGGCGTTATCCCTATTAAAGGGTCACTCGGGGAAAATGTGATGGAAATGAGAAATTATTCAGGTCTGCCAACAGTATTTAACTTTCAAGCAGCTCTTAATTAGAAGCCAGGAGCCATTTATACAACCGTTGAGATTTGCATAGGAATCTGCACGTAGAAGCTGGGAGGAATGATGATTTTTGAGTGGTGAAGCAGCATACTGGGGGCTGGGGGTTGCTGGCCTGGGGTCCAGGCTCTGTGGGTGTTTGAAGCCCAGCCTCAGGAAGGTGGTTCTCTCTCTCCCAACTCCTCAATTTTTCCATCTTTAAATGGAGACTGTTGTGTGCCTGCAGGTCCCAGCAGGCGACCACTGGGTTGCACAGTCCCTGCTCTGATGGGAGTTCAGATGAGGGGTTTCCATTTCAGCTCCTCACTGCTTTCCCCAGCACAGAGCTGGTTCCCAGCACTGCATATTCTTTGCTAAGAGCCCAAACCAACCCTGGACAACCATCAGTTATGTCTGTGCCCTCTGACTGGGATTCCACCTGCACCCAACCAGCTGGGTTGATGGCTAGACTTGATGCCCTTAGTGGTCTTTTCATACCTGAATGATTCCACGGCTGGAAAAATGCTTGAGCGGACAGAAAGAAAAATAATCCAACTTCTGGTTAGCTATTCTCCTGCTCTTTCCTATTCTGGTTAGATTCTCTTGCTCTTTCCTCCCTGCCCATCACTCCGTGGCGCTGAGGCTCCCCCCACTCAGGGCCTCACCCTGCTGAGCTCTGCCCTCATGTCTCATTGAGGTTGGGGAGACCTCTAGAATCCCCAAGTCCACCCTCAACCCATCCCCACCACATCACTCAATGCAACATCCACCCTTTTCTTGAGCACCTCCAGGGACGGTGACTCCCCCACCTTCCCAACCCGATGCCAATGCATCACCTCTCTTACCGAGAAGAAATGTTTCCTGATATCCAACCTACCTCTCCTAATATCCTCTGCCCACAGCTGGATAAGGGGGACGTGGCCACGCTTGGGCTGCCCTCCACCACCGGCCACGGTGACACCGACGGCCCCATCTGCCTGGACGTCCCCGATGGCACTCCAGACCCCCACAGGACCAAGGCAGCCATCGAGCACCTGCACCAAAAGATCCTCAAGATCACAGAGCAGATCAAGATCGAGCAGGAAGCTCGTGACGACAACGTGGCCGAGTACCTGAAGCTGGCCAACAACGCGGACAAGCAGCAGGCGTCGCGCATCAAGCAGGTCTTTGAGAAGAAGAACCAGAAATCGGCGCAGACCATCGCGCAGCTGCACAAGAAGCTCGAGCACTACCACAAAAAGCTGAAGGAGATCGAGCAAAACGGCCCATCCCGACAGCCCAAAGATGTCTTCCGGGACATGCACCAAGGTCTCAAGGACGTCGGGGCAAACGTCCGTTCCAGCATCAGTGGATTTGGTGGTGGCGTGGTGGAGGGTGTCAAAGGAGGGCTCTCAGGGCTGTCTCAGGCCACCCACACCGCAGTGGTGTCCAAGCCTCGGGAATTTGCCAGCTTAATCCGCAATAAATTCGGCAGCGCAGACAACATCGCCCACCTGAAGGACACGTTGGATGATGGACACCCCGAGGAGGCCTCGCGGGCGCTCAGCGGTAGTGCCACGTTGGTTTCCAGCCCCAAGTATGGCAGTGATGATGAGTGCTCCAGTGCCACCTCGGGGTCAGCTGGTGGCAGCAATTCTGGGGCCGGTCCCGGTGGGTTGGGAAGCCCCAAATCCAACACGTTGGAAGGCCATCACAGCAATTTTGACACCATCCTGGAGGAGCTGCGGGAGATCAAGGACAGCCAGTCGCACCTGGAGGACTCCATGGAGGACCTCAAGGCACAGCTGCAGCGGGATTACACCTACATGACGCAGTGTTTGCAAGAGGAACGCTACAGGTATAGGGCTGAGAGTGGGGGGGGGGGCAATGTGCGTCACCCAGGGTGGCTTTAGGGGACCATGAGGGAACCTTCCTGGGCTTGTGACCGAGCCCCGCACACTGGGGATGGTGGGAGCTGCACCACAGAGGATCAGGAGGTACGTTACCGTCATCAGCCCCAGGCAGGAGGGAGGTGGATCCAAGGGTTGTGGTTCTGGGCGGGGGGGGAAGAGGGGGGTGTCCCTCCAATGCCAGTGCCCCTCTGCCCCCACACACAGGTATGAACGCCTGGAGGAGCAGCTGAACGACCTCACTGAGCTGCACCAGAATGAAATGACCAACCTGAAACAGGAGCTGGCGAGCATGGAGGAAAAGGTGGCCTACCAGTCCTATGAGAGGGCACGGGACATCCAGGTAGGGGAGCACCAGGGCTCAGCCTCACATTGCACCCTCCACCAAGGGGGCCAGAAAGGGACCCTGGGGGCAATGGAGGGAGGGACAAAGGGAGCCCTTTTTCCAGCTGTTAGCCCCATCCAGATTGGGTCCTTGCTGTGATGTTGTCTCAGCAAGAAGCTGTGTCCCCAGAATGCTGTCTGTGCCCCAGGAAGTCCCTGCTGCCTTAAAATCCCCAGCTGCTCACAGCCATGCAAGGCTCAGGGTGGAATTGTCTACACTTGGGGTAACATCAGCCCTGCTATCCCAGTTTGGGTAGGTACCCATGGTACAGAGGCCATTCCCAGCACAAACAGGGCACAGATTCACAGAGGGAAACCCATTTCTACCACCCATCACCATCATAATAGGTTTGTGCACATAGCAGAGCTACAGCAAGCAACACCTTGCACAGAGCAAATCCCCAAAGCCCTCAACTGGGCTAAATAACACAACTGCACCCTGCAGGAAGCAGTGGAATCCTGCCTGACGCGGGTGACCAAGCTGGAGCTTCAGCAGCAGCAACAGCAAGTGGTGCAGCTGGAAGGAGTGGAGAACGCCAACGCCCGGGCACTGCTGGGCAAATTCATCAATGTCATCCTGGCTCTGATGGCCGTGCTGCTCGTCTTCGTCTCCACCATCGCCAACTTCATCACACCGCTTATGAAGACCCGCATGCGCATCCTCAGCACCGCCCTGCTCGTCCTCTTCCTTTTCTTCCTCTGGAAACACTGGGACTCCATCACCTACTTTCTGGAGCACGTCCTGCTCCCCAGCTGATCCGCAGCACAGGGGTTTTTTCCATTTCCCAATGGAGGAGTGAGCGGGAAGGGACGGCGCTCTGGAGCCTTTGGTCATTTCTTTGTGCACTCTTTGGTTGCTTTCCTGGCCCTCAGTCAGCTGCGGTCGCTCGGAGCACGGTGAAGTCGGTCCTGTGGGATGCTCAGGGTGGGGGAGTTTGGGATGAAATTGGTAATGTAAGCGGTGTTGGGTTTTTCTAGGGGGAGAGTTTGGATGGTTTTTTTTTATTTGTTTGTTTTTAAACGTTGCTCTGTTCTGAAAGTCAGTAGGAAGGTCTGCAGAGCCCACCTCAGGGTTGTTGGTAGAGAGGATTGAGCTGGAGCAAACCCAGCTCTGGGAGAAGTTCCTGTACAGAGAGGAGTCACCAGGGCTGGCTTTTCCCTTTCAATCTGAAAGACGGCAAAAAGATGGAGCTGAAGCAAAGCACGTGGCAAAGGAGGAAGCAGGTCCAAGGCAAGCATCACTGCTCCCAGCGAGCTCACAGCAGGACACACGTCTCACCAGCTTCTCCAACCCCATCACCAGGACCAGGGGCAGAGCAGGGCTGCGGTGCCATCCCCACGCAGACCCAACGCCACAAACAGCATCAGCACCGGCACCCAACGAGACCCCCCTCTATTGGTTTCCCCTCATTTATTTATTGCCCCTTCCTTTGGCTTCAATTGATCTGATCTCTTCAGGGACACCCAGACTTCCCAGCATCACGCCACTGAGTTTTCCAGCCTCTGCAATGTGTTGTGTGTGCGTGTGTGTGTGCGGTTTTTAAGTTAATTCAAGACTCTTGTTTCCATTTGTGAATCAAAGCTGGTAGCGCCAGGGGAGGTGGGCAGCCGCCTCCCCAGCCCTACACAAGAGCACAGCATGCAGTCTTGGATGTTTCTTAAATTATTTCATACCTATATATTTATGTAATATATCTACACACACACACACATACATATATATATATATAAATATATATTAAGATCTATCCACAGTCAGATCCTCTTCTGGTGCAAATGGGTGCAACTCCACAACTTCGGAGGCACTGAACCAGTTTGCCTCAGCTGAGAATTTGGCCTTTAGCAGCTGTCCTGCTCTGCAGCCCCACGTGCAGGGCTGCTTTGGGGCACGGGGTCCCGGGGAGGGGTGCATCGCTTCTGACCTGGGCACAGCTGGGAGTATTTTGGCCACCAGGTAGGTACCAGCCTGAATGCATCAGGGTGAAGTGGAGGAGAGGACAGCTGGAGGGGCAAGCAGCAGGTTGGGTTTCAGCTGCTTGCAGTGACCTGGAAAGGCAATGGATTGATCAGAGCAGGCAGCTGAGCCAACACGGAGGGGGGAGGCGGGCAGTGGGGCCCTGGGGGGAGGAGGGTCCTGGCAGCACCAAGGGCTGGGTGCATGGATGGACCCCATTCTTACACATCCTCCAAGCCTACTGGCTGTTATTTTACCCCAGACGAGGGCGCTGCCTTCAGGCTCAGTCACCATTTACCCCCTCTTTGTGCCTCCCACATACCTTAGCACCCCCCCAGACCTTCCCCTACAAGTTCCCCACCCCACACTGGGGGTCTCCCCTGCCTCACCCCTTCTCCCTCCCTTGCATCTTCCTGGCTGCTGCCCTATCACCACACTGCCAGACACAGGCATCGATACCTCTGCTTGCCCACCACCGCTGCCCGCCTGCATCCGCACGTTCATTACCTGTTAACCGTTGTCCCTGCCCAGGGAAGCGGCAGCCCCATACAGAGAGCTGGAGATGCCCGGTACCCCATCCGAGCCCCACACCAGGGATGGCTCCGGAGCTGCGGCCACTGGAGGGCTCCCGGCAGCCGTAAAGAAGAGAGGAGGCGGAGAGAAGATGGGGAGGGGATCTGAAACAACCCCCCCTATGGGCGCTGGGGCCGGGCGGTGTCCCTCATCCTAATTAGCGCCTTAACCCGTTCCTGCCCGCTGCAGAGACAGGAGGACGAGGTTTTGGGGTAGGAGCCCCATAAGCTCTGCAGCTGGTGGGGGAAAGGAGCAGCTGCGGTGGATACGGTGCTCAGTGGGGTCCAGGGATGAGCACAGCTTTGAGGGAGGTAGAAAAGCCCCCAGAATGCCGTTCTGCTGTTTAGGGCACGCTGGTTTTGCAGAGCTGCTAGGAACCATCTTTAGAGGCTTGCTGGGGGCAGCAGGGAGCCCTGGAAAGCGCCAGCACCATCCTTTCCACCTCTCAGAGCTGGAGACCACCACGCGTCCTGCTGACATCCCACATAACAAAGCTGTGAGCCCACCTGAACCACCCTATCCCCATCCTCAACCTGGGGACAGCAGGAGCAGAGAACCCCAGTGCCCCTCCAGCATCCTCATGCCCCCAGGTCCGGACTCCCACCACCATTCCCAGTGAGGGGAGAGGCAGAAATCCCAGCACGTGGAGCTGGGCACTGCAGTGACAACAGCTACTGGGACAATTCCAACACACCAAGCACAGCTTGGGGCTCCCTGAGGACTCACATTCTCCAAGCAGGGCTGGAGAGGCTCATAAGAGCCCCCTTTGTGCCAGAGGGAGGAGAGGTGAAGCTTTGACGTCAGCTGGGGAGGAATTCCTTAATGCCATTCAGGCCTCCCTCGGCTGCCTTGCTAATTGCATTTTATGTAATTGCAGCAGCTGGGCTGCCAGTCTGCTACTGGGAGCTGGATGAGGAAGTGGGCTTGGGAACCCGGGGGGCAGTGGGAGCAGTGGGAGCAGCTCTTCCTTTGGGTATAGCATTGCAACCAGGGCCATCCTGCAGCCCATGCCTTGCTGTCTCCCCCTGCCTCACGTGGGATCGCTCTTCAGCATGGGGAGAAGTAGTTGTCATACATTGGCTTGGTATCCAAGGGGGTAATTGCACTTAATGGAGATGGATAAGGCGGTGATTTATCTCGCTCACATTATGCTGTCAGGTTCCCAGCTGCACGAGTCGTGGACAATAAAATAATGTGTTTGCTGGTGGAGTTCCCAAATGTCCCCACTGTGTCATATTGCCTCTCTGCCCCAAGGAGAGGAGGAGCTGCTGAGCACCTGCCTGCATTTTGGGGTGCATTGCCTTGCTCCTTCTCATGGGACACTGGTGCAGATGCCACCACTGATCCCATAAGGGGGTCATGGCCACGGGTCCTGCTGCAAAGCCCAACACAGCCCCTGTCCTCAGCTCTCCTGGCTCAGCAGCCTTCCTCCAGAGGAGTAGGAGGAGAGGGGGGGGGGGGGGGGCCCCCCCCCGGGAGGGTGGCTGGCCCCAGCAATGGGAAAGCCAACGGGACCCCAGACATCCCCTCCCCCTGCCTGCCGGCTTGGCCAAGCTTAGGCTGTAAAAAGAAAGAGCTGGTACCAAGGATAACATGCTTTGCATTCCTGCGCTGTCTCCAGGGGAATTTCGACTGATCTACATGAAAAATACTCGCTACCCCTGAGGTCAAAGTGTCTGGAGGAAAAATTTCCGAGCGGAAAGGCTTGGGGCAGCACAGAGAGGAGCCACAGCCAGCGGCTGCAGGGTGCTGGGATCTCACCTGCTGGCAGCAGTGTGGGTCGGTGACAACGGCATCGTGTCTGGTGACAGTGCCATCACTGTGGGCACCACCAGGAGCCTATGAGCCCATCCTGCTGCCCCTGTGCCATTCCTGCCTCCCTCCCCTGCCTGGTGCCGGTGCCATCTCTGCCTCTCCCTGCCTGCAGCCTCCCTTGGCTCTCTGATGGGAGCTGTGGGGGCTCATTGCTGAGCCCACATTCCCTCCCCACCACCCAGCATTTCGATTTCAAGCACCTCCAGAGCCTCGCAGTGCCTGTCCTGTGCTATGGGGATGTTAAAGGGGATGAGAGGCAGAGATGGGGGGAAATGAAGCAGCGGAGGGGAGGCAGCCAAAAGCACTCAGCAAAGCCCCATTTCCTCTAAGTCACTGTAGTTAAAGCTGCAGCTTGTAAACCCAAAATCTCCCCGTGAGCTCCTGCAGCTCTGCTGGGAGCAGCAGTTGGGGCCACCCCAAAGCACTGTGTGCTTGATGGGAACTGATTTCCAGGCTGCTGCAATGCATCTTCTGTTGGTTCTGCTCCTCCGTGGGATGAGCGCAACCCCAATGGGCTGCAGGTTTCTCTCTCTCAGTGCTGCTGCCTGCATCTGGAGACTGGGGCTCAGCCTGCCCCAAATTCACATCGGCATCCATTGGCCACAACATGGGGTACGTCACAGTGCCAATGGATCTCAGAGCTCACATCACCCAGCAGCCCAACCCAGGGGCAGAGAGCAGAAGAAAAGCAACAGGTTTGCCCCCCATTGCCTCCCCCCCCCCATGAGGATGGGGACAGCGTGGATGGAGCACAGCCCCACTGCACGCAGCTCCCCTTCTGCTCGTGGCCCATCTAATAATTTAATTGCACATTTGAAAATAAATACGTGTCTGGGGTTGGGAGAAAGAGAAGGCTGAGGGATGAAAATGAAGAGGAATTTAATTAAGGGCAGCGCTGGGAATGTCTCTACCACAATAAAGATAAGGAGGATCAATTGCTTCTTCCTACGATCAAAGAGAAGGGCTGGAGGGGGGGAAGCGGTGCTGTCAGAGGGTACAAAGTACAGCAGAGGGAGGGGGAGGTGGGAGGGAAAGGCACACGGGGTTGGGGGGGGGAAGCAAGAGACAGCTTAGATAAGATTAGGAAATAATTGATGGCGCAGATCCCCGGGGGGCAGCTGGGACCTGCAGGTCCAAATGATGTATCTGATTGCTTGTGAATGCAAAGGAGAGCCCTGACGTGGTTTTGTAAGGGCTGAAGTTGTGGCTCCCAAACTGAGGGAACCGATGCCCGTTGAACCCACGCAGCTCTGCAGCCCCCTCCCCATCGCATTGCATTGCAGGCAGCCAAGTAACTGCGTGCTGCAGTTCTTCCAGGTGCAAAAAAGGGAAACGCTCAGCACGGAGCTGCCAGGAGGCCCCATTCCTGCTGGTGGTATTTGCATGGGGTTGGGACATCGTTGCCACGTTTGATTTGCATCCCCGGGTGGGAACCTCCTGCAGCGCTGCTGTGTGTGTGTGTGTGTGTGTGTGTGAGCCCCAACGCCCAGCCCTGCCACCAGAAAAACGGGCTCCTGCCTCGTGCCTCACCCCTGTGCAAGGAGCCCAACCTGTGCCCCAAGCAGGCGGCTCAGCCGGCTGGGGAGGGCGGGCAGGGCTGCAGCTGGCAGGGAGACAGCATGGGTTCTGTGACAGCCCTGCAGCTCTGCAGGAGTGCTGCCAGCTCCCTGCCTGATTTGCACAGGGCTCAGAGGGGTTTTGCTGCCGTGCTCCATAGAGTCACTCCGTGGGCAATGCCAACCTCTCTGCTCTCACCCCTGCGCTCCCTCCTGCTGATGCATTAAGGAAGCGTTTGCAGTGCTGCACAACTATCCAGATGTCAGAGGGATGGGGGGAAGTATTGGCCTGTCTAGGGGGTAGAAAGCACTACAGAGGGATCTGGACTGGATGGATGGATGGGCTGAGGCCAATGGGGTGAATTTCACCAAGCCTCGGTGGCGGGTGCTGCGCTGTGGTCCCAACAGCCCCACGCAGCCCTCCATGTGTGGGGCCAACAAGCATCATCCAGGGAGGCACTCAGCAACCATGGAGATGTGACATGTGGGGACACAGCGGGATGGGTTGAGGTTGGACTTGGGGATCTCAGAGCTCTTTCCCAACCTTAATGGTTCTATGGCTCTATGGTTCCATTCCTCACTCTCCTGGGGAGTGGGAGCAATATTTCCGGATGCCTCTCTCTCCTTTTATTCTTTTCTTTTCAACCACTCCAGGCTGAGAATAGGAAGGCTTTCATGTGGGGGATTTTTCCTCTTCTGATCTTCAAAGAAATCCAGCAATCAAACAGGTAATATTAAATTAAAAAAAAAAAAGCACAGCTTTGAAAACATCGCATGCA